CTCAGGTCGTTATTTCAAGCGAATATATGCGGTCTACCGGGATTTCTTTGAGCGATACAAGTAGCACGTCGAGCATCTTAGAAATCTCTGGGGAAATGCAGGACCAGATGGGGCAGCAGATGGGGGATCCCGACGTGGGTGCGGCTTCCGTGGATCATGGCAACTTGTTTCCCCTTGGAGACGAGGAGAACCCTCGGGATTGGGTCGCGAAAGACCCCTGAGAGTGGCAGTCGTATTTTTATGAGCACGTGGAGGACATTTTCACTGACGTGTATACTCACGAGGAGGGGGCCCCGGAGGAATGGTTATTGTATATTCCTGGGAAGGAGAGAAGGATTAACTCGAAGTATGACAGGAGGTAGATCCCGATGTATGACATTATCTTTCAAGAAACGGGTCTTCGCCTCCCCCTTTTCTGACTTCGAGGTGGTCGTTTTCCGGCATCTGCGAGTGGCTCCTTCTCAACTGCATTCAAACGGTATCGCGTTCGTGCGAGTGTTACAGATAGTGTGTGACCATCTGAAGATAGGGGCCACTATCCCATTGTTTTTCTACTACTTTCATATTCAGAGGAGTAAGATTGACGGAAAGTGGGGATGGGTCTCCCTTAAGCAAGGCAATGAGAAGTTATTCAAGGCCTCTCTAGAGTTTGTCCGCCATTTTAAGGACACGTATATCTTGGTGCAACCTTCCTCGACAAAGGCGATGTTGAGCTTTTTTAGGACCACGCTGTCGCTCAACGAGGATGGGACTCCTCATATAAACGAGATGGGGGAGCCCACTGCGAAGCCGATTTAAAAGTTCCCGTTCCAATGGACGCGAAAGCATTTCGACAGGGAATTGGGATCCAATGTTTGGAGAGAGGGAGAGCTCAGAGCCGAGGATCTGGAGAGTTTTGCTGCTCTAACCGCGTTCTTGGCTCAAATCCCTCGAGTTCAGCGAGCTGGTCGGGGAGGTAGGCTAGTGCTGGATAAGAACGGAGAGCCCGTGTATGAACCAGGACTCATAAACGTCAAGGATCTCCTCGGAAGCGAGATTCCCATTAGATATTTGGGTATATGTATTCCTAATAGCAGTATGTGATTTTAGTTTGTTTGACTCCTCATTTTACTGACTATGCTCTTTTTTGTTTGTTTTGCAGAGAGCATGAATCCTGCCCAGGAGCGTTTGGCTAAGACTCTTGCCTGCTCGAGCGAGGAGGGCTTTGAAGGATGCACAGGCTGGCGCGGAGCCAGGTCCTGCCTCAGGGTTGGGCGGCTCGTCTTCAGATTAAGCCACAACCACTCTCTCTCCTGCTATCATTTCTTCAAAGCCGAAGAGACCGCGAGTTGACGGGAGTATTGACTTGACCATAGAAACGGGGAAGGGGACGTATGAATTGCCTCCTTGCTGGTTGGAAAGGTTTTTTTTCCGAGGGTGCAACTCTCCGCCTCCCCCGGGTCGAATCTCTCCTTCTCGAGGGAATGGGTCGTCCGGAGTAGAGGGAGACGTTAGCGTAAGATGCAGGTAGTTTAATGCGGATCTTGGAGATGGAGGTCGCATACACCAAGGGGAGTTCATCTTAGGAGGCAGAAATGAAGAATCTTTGGGCCAAGCTGGCGGCGACTGAGAAGACCTTGGTCGACAAGGACAAAGCCTTGAAGTTGTCCGAGGAAGAATCAGGGAAGCTCTCTGAGGAGCCAGGGTCCTTTTTCTTGAGAGAGGGCCTTAAGGAAAAGGTTGTGGCCTTAACTACTAAGATTGCGCCTGCTGAGGACGAGCCGGAGGACACTAAAAATCTTAAGACTCGGGCTGAGTTAGTCGCTCGTTTCCAGTTGACAATGGATGATGCTCTGACTGCTTCTGAGTGGAGTTTCGAGAATTCCGTGAATCAAATTCGTGTGTTGAATCCTAGTGTCGAGCTCAACACCTCAGAGATGGAGGTCAATTACTATGTGGCCGGTGGCCAGATTTTGGTTCCTGATTATCTAAGGGATATCGTTGCTCAACCGACCGGGGGTCCTGTCCAACTATCTCCCATTATTGAAGGGGAAGTGGAAGGATAATTGCACGTTTATTTCGGCCCGCGTTCCATTTTCGTTGTATTTGTTTTCCTGGGCTATTGGTTGTTTTATTTAAATTTCAGCCAATGGTTGTTTGTTTTGAATATTTAACTTGTGTTTTTCGCATGCCTATTGACAAACTAGACTGTTCAAGACGTTTTATATTTTTCCAAGAGTTCATGGCGGGGATATGCTCGTTTTGTATGTTCGTCGATATGTGGAAACCGATCAAACGGCCAGGGTAAATGTCGGGTGAGGATCGGAACTCAGGTCTCGTTTCGAGGGACCCGGGTTCGGTGGCATAAACTTCCCGTCGCGAGTCGGGCGTTCTACCTTTGTGGCACAAAGAGTATGGAGCTCGGTCGAGTTATCCAGGTCAGGCCGAGGGTGCGCTCGTCAACAAAGCAGAGCCTCGCCCCTTCTGAATACTTTGGATGCTATGCTCGTGCCTAGGCATGCACGCGTGGTCGGGCCTGAGTGAGTTTGTCTCAT